ACAACAACAACAACAACAACAACAACAACAACAACAACAACAACAACAACAACCACTAAGACCAGAAGCAATAAAATAAATGACAACAACAACAACAACAACAACAACAGCAACAAGAAAATAAAAATAAATAATGAACAACAGACAACACCAACAGCCAAAACAAGAGAGGTACAAAAAACAACAAAGTGGTTTATTACAGCATCAACAAATTATAATAATTGAAAAAAACAATAACAACAAAACAAAAAACCAAACTAAAAGATCATAGCTAAAGTAAGAAGCACTAGCTACCCCACTACCACAGAAGTCCGGGGCGGCCTTACCGCTAAAACACCAGGCCTTCTCGATTGCAGTGTGCTGGTGACTGGCCCCAAACTCCGCGAAGCCACTCTCGGCCACTGAAAATTGTTGACGTTTCTGTTGCTGCTGTTATTATTGCTGCTGCTGCTGTTATTATTGCTGTTGTTGTTGTTGTTGTTGCTGCTGCTGTTGCCCACATACCCAAGGTGGGCGGATGCGAGCCTGAAGAGATTCGCGGGATTCCTACGCCGATTCGGCCCACCGCTTGCATTTCCGCGACCGACGTTACTGAGACTTCCAGCTCTATTATTAACATTGGTCGTCGTTGTTTTTCTGGCGGCTTCGCGGAAATACATACGTAGACGGTCGAACCATTCCCCGCCCCCTCCACTTCCACCGACATTTCCGGTGCTAGGAATAAGGTCTCGGTGCGGAATTTCCCGATAAAACACGCACAGAAATCTGCATGTAGGTCGACGTCGTGATGCGCTGGATAGAGGCAATACATGTGTCGATGACGATGATGATGGTGATGACGACGATGATGATGGTGATGATGGCGATCCTGATGATGATGATGAGGAGGAGGATGACGATGCTGCTGCTGATGATGAAAACAACGAGGAGAGTCTCAGCTCTTGAATAAAGTCCGTTGGCAGCGGACGATAGGGTATGATTTCTGCAGGCGGTGTGAGAATCGTGCTTGCTGCTGGCAGCTCTTGTAAACGATCCTCGTCACCGATGTTATTCATAGTATTTTGCTTTACATTGTCATTTTTATTAGTACTATTGCTACTATTATTATTGTTGTTATTATTATTGTTGTTGCTGTTGTGGTTGTTCTGGTTGTTGCTTGCGACCAAGCCCGCGTGTTGTGGGTGCCGTAAGATGTAATCTATAACTTGGTCCTCTTTGGAAGGGGCAGCTCCAAAGTTGAAGTTCGCCCCACTCAGCCCGTGCAGACTCTGTCTGTTCTTCACGTCCTCCCAAGAAATTACTCGTTGCTTTCCCGACTGCCCTGTGCCCCGGGCTCCGGTAGGAAAAATTCGAGGAATCGTCGCTGGAGGAATGCCCACGCCAGTATTTGCGAAGGTTGCTCGGTCTAACAACGGGTCGTGGAACCGTCGAAATGTGGAGGGTCGGTCAAAGGAGGAGGAGGAGGAGGAGGAGGAGGAGGAGGAGGAGGAGGAGGAGGAGGAGGAGGAGGAGGAGGAGGAGGAGGAGGAGGAGGAGGAGGTGTGAGGGGAGGTAGCGGAGTGCCCAATCGTTCCGAAGTTGGAGTGCGAGTTCTGTATCACGTCAGAGGTTTGTCGGGGAAGTAGAGCTACTTCTGGGAGTTGGTTGTACACGTTTATGACACTGCTACTGTCCGCGTTTGGCAGAGTGTTGGTGCGATGTAGCGCGTTCACCCCCTGCGCTGGGGGGCGGTGGTGGTGGTGGTAGGCGTTCGAAACCACGGCGCCGGTATGGTCGTTGATGACCCTGTGCGATTCAGAAGGATCGTCTATTGGCAGTTGGTTGATGTTGGACGTTTTGGGAAAATTCCCGCTCGCTTTGAGATTTCCCGGGTTGAGAAGGATGTCGTGGCTAGGCCTCAGGTTATTGATGTGTTGACCTGAGCTGGGTTGGTGCGTTTGTCCAGGGGTTGACAGAGAAAGTCCCGGAGGGGAGGTAATTCTGGAGTCTTCTCGCAGTCTGTTGAAGGATGTGGGATCTGGTTGAGCCGTCGTAGGTAGGGGCAGTATACCTTGCCCGTTAGCAACAACGAAAGAAGGTACATAAGGCTCCCGCGTGTTTTGTTCTGTAGGATAGATAATGTGAGACAGAATCTCCGTGGCAAAGTCTTTGTGTCCAGACACTGCCGAGTGTGTAGGTGGAGGAAGCCCAGAGGCGGGGGTGGCGGTTCTTCCAGAGGCGTCTCTTGCTTCTTCCTTGAAGTCGATGTCCAATGCCGAGAGGAAATCACTTGGGTGAGTATTCCCAGTATTAGTCTCATTGCTAATATCGTTGTTATTGTTGCTGTTGTTGTTGGTGGTGGTGGTGTTGCTGCTGCTGCTGTTGGCATCAGGTTTGCCACCATCAATGACGTGAGACCACAGCAGACTGTCGTGGAACGTTCTGTTGACGAACTCTCCCACGCTGTTGTTCACACCGTCCACGTGTCTGTTGTTGTTGCTGCTGCTGCTGCTGCTAATGCCGTTGCTGTAGTCAGTGGCAAGGTGTACACCGGTTATCCCATCCGTATTGTTGCTTATATTTGTTGAAGAGTCTTTATCTCCCGACGCACCAGTAGCTGAGCTCAAGACGTCGTCAGGACTATGAAGCGAGCCCCTGCCTTTGTTTACAGAATCCATCAAACCATATGTCTCATTATTTCTTCCTTGGTCATACATTCCCCCCTGGTGTGCCGATGCACCAGAAGAATCGATATCTCCAGTAGAGTACGATGGAGAAAGCGACGACGACAAATTCAGCTTTACGGCAGGATCGTAGCGATTTGTATGGCTCATTTTTTCGCCGATTGCATTTCGTAACAACGACAACTTGGAATCTCCGGTATTTGAGATATGTGTTGGTCCATGCCGCACCCCACCTTCTTCTCTTGTTGCAGAACTGACAGCCTGACTCCCACTACTTTCCCCTTTGTCCTCTACTTTTTGAGACCCGGGTGTCCACTGTATTTGCGTTTCCTGACCTGTGAATATACACGCAAGAAACAAAGTTTAGTATGTTTTAGTTTTAGTAGGAGTTTCACGGCACTTGCAACACAATAAGGTCATTTAAGTGCCAAAGATTAGATGTGTTACAAGAGAGTAACAAACACAAGAAAGAAGGAGCGGAAATAAGGACAATACATGGCTTGTCATTTATTTCTGTGCTCGGTTATTCTTTTAAAAAACGTGTTCTTTCCGAGTTGTTCTCCATAGTTTAAGGTTTTCCAAGTAGTTTGCTCTGGATCTACCCCTACCTCGTTAACCTTATTTTTCCCAGCAAGTGCAAGATGTCCATGGTCTTTATATATCAATTCAAGTGTCCCAGAAACTGGGATTTTGTATCTTCCTAAGTTTTAAAAATTAGCGAGTGACCCACATAGAGATTCCTTCAGAAGTGGATCTACCTCATTTACTTTCTTTTCAGTCTGAAATTCGCAATATTCTCGGAAGAAACCCTATTATTATTTCTGTTGCTTTTACGCCATACTCTGCTCTGTCTGTATTATTTGGAAAACATTCACAGCCGTACAGGAAGATTGACCACACACAGCCTTTTAGAACTCGTATTTTAGTAGTCCCTGGGATTGGACTCATTTAATTAAAACTATCTTGAGCTTTTGCGATTCTTTGTATTATTATTCTCAGGAACCATAGAATTACAAAGTTTTGTCTGAAATTTTTGGCTGTTTTGAGTTACAAAAACCATGAGGCCAGAAACCAAATGTTTTCTTTTGCTCTATCAAATCGTAAGATTATATCTTATATAAGGAGTCGTTATCAAGATATTCAAAGAATAATTTGCATTCGAAAAAGCTTGACAGGTGAAATTCAAAAAATTTAACAACAAATTTCTCAAAACTAAGTACTAAGCAGATAGAACTTAAGAATTCTGGGGTACCAAATGGCATGGTCATGTACAGATAAGAAATTTCACAGCGTAATCTTACTATTTTAATGGAGAAGATACGGCATTGGTTTCTGACCTCATGGTCTTAATAACTCAAAACGGCCAAAAATGTCAGATAGAATTGTGAAATTCTGAGATAGCGAAGGGGAAAGAGAAGACGATACTAAACCACGACAGTATGTTTAACGAAAGCCACTTGTCACTGTCTGTACTCACTTGTTTTGACTAGTTCCTGCTCCCTCATTCTGCTTATCTCGAGATTTGGTATGAACTCTGTTGTTGTTGCTGTTGTTGCTGTTGTTGTTGTTGTTGTTGTTGTTGTTGATGTTGATGGTTGTGTTGTAACTGTTGACGAAGATGCTGCTGCTGCTGTTGTTGTTGTTGTTGATGATGATGATGCTGTTGTTGTTGCTGTTGCTGCTCCAGAGTTTGTTGCTGAATAAGGTTCGATGATTCGTTTCCTAGCAACGTCGTCTGAGAGTTTGGCGTCTCCACTGCTTGGGACGAGCCTATCGTAGACGATAGTGCCTGTGTTTTGGACTGACTTGTCTCTTCCAGCAGATGCTGCTGTTCCTGCTGCTGATGTTGCTGCTGTTGCTGCTGCTGCTGTTGCTGTTGCTGCTGCTGTGGTGGTTCTAGAGGAGGGTGCAGATGTGGTGGTTGCTGCTCTCGAGAAGGATGCTGAAAGTGCTGCTGCTGCAGATGGTGAGTGAGGAGACGATGACGCAGCATGTATCTGGGAGACTGAGCCCTCTGGATGGGGTAGAGAATTACCACGTAGGGGTGGCGTCTTGTCGGGGTGGATGACGACGTGGCGACCGTCGGTGCTGATGGCGTTTGGGTCTGGTTTTGCTGTTGTTGTTGTTGCTGTTGTTGATGCTGCTGTTGCTGTTGTTGTTGCTGTTGATGATGATGCTGATGAGGCTGGTGTACTTGCTGTTGCTGCTGCTGTTGTTGATGAGGCAGATGTACTTGCTGTTGTTGTTGTTGCTGTTGCTGTTGTTGTAGATGAGGCTGCGGCTGATGCTGATTCACCTGCTGATGTTGCTGCTGCTGTTGCTGCTGCTGTTGTTGTTGTTGTTGAGGCTGTTGATGGTGGTGATGATGATGAGATTGTGAAGTGGCCGGCTGAGGGGGTGGTGAAGGAGTCGATGTTGTCGGCGAATCTGTTGGAAGCACCATCTGGAACTGTTGCTGCAGCTGCTGTTGTTGTTTCCCTGGCAACTGTTGTTGCTGCAGTATATCTTTTTTCTGTTTTTGTTGCTGTTGTTGCTGTTGTAAATAGCGATGTTGTAGCTGCATCTGTTGGCTCATGTGCATAAAACTCTGCAGCACTAGAGGAATCAGCTGATTCATCGGGATTGAAATTGGCTGTTGTTGTTGTTCCTGCTGCTGCTGCTGCTGCTGTTGCTGTTGTTGTTGTAGCTGCGTTTGTTGTGGTTGCGGTTGTGGTTGTGGTTGCTGAAGCAACTGTTGACCTTGCAGCAAAGTTGGAGAGAATCTGGGGACTTGGATCGCGTTTTGCTGCGACAGGTCCGGCAGTCGCTGTATCTTGGGGATTTGAGACTGAGTTTGCAGAGCCGGGTGAATAGGAGTCGGCTGTTGCTGCTGCTGTTGCTGCTGTTGCTGTTGCTGCTGCTGTTGCTGTTGCTGATGTTGCTGTTGCTTCAGTTGCAACAACCTTTGCTGCTGTTGCTGCAGTTGCAGCTGCTGTTGCTGTAAAATCTGCAGCTGCTGCAGGTAATGCAGGTCGTTTTGACGTTTGGTCGATGCGGGATGTCCGACGTAATTCTGAAACCTTTGAGGGGATATGGAGGGTGGAGGCAGGGCTGCTGGTTGTGGTTGTGGAAGTGGTGGTGGTTGGGGTGGTGGCTGCTGCTGATTCTGCTGCTGTTCTTGTTGCTGTTGTGGTTGTTGTTGCTGCTGTTGCTGCTGTTGCTGTTGCTGCTGAAGATGGGACTTCATCACCGACGTATGGGACCGAAGAGGGTCGTGGTTGCCGAGGTGGGACGGTTTCTTCGAGGTCAGTGGAAGTTGTTGTTGCTGTGATTGTTGTGATTGTTGTGGTTGTTGTTGCTGTTGTTGCTGTTGCTGCTGTTGTTGTTGTGGTGGTGGTGTCTGTACTCGTTGCTGCATGCGCGACCGCTGTTGCGAGAGCGCTGGGTAAGTGTGGACGGGCGGGGAGTGGTGAGGCGTCTATCTGGGGAAGGAACGTATGGCCTTAATGTGTAGGGATCACGTGACGCTTAGGAGAGTGCATTGTACACGGTAACTCTGAAAAGACTACTGGTTAGATATTGTATTATTGCTTTCTTTCTTTCTTTCTTTCTTTCTATTTTAAAAATGGTTTTCCTTTTCTTAAAACTTTAAAAAAAAAAAGAAGAAAATATCTACTTGCCTGTATCACGACTGTTTCCTCACATATATAATAAATCTTAATTCTTTTCTTGAGAAATTATGGGTTTAATACATGTTTGTGGGGCTTGAACTTGAAACCTACCTTAATTTTTTGCTGAAAATGCCAACAATATTCTTTAAAAAATGACTTGTGTACGCTTGATACGCCTATTGCATCAGACATCACACCTGGTGGAATCGGGTGACCGTCAATTATTATTTTTTCAGCATGTGGAGTTACTAATCGTCTTAAAAAGCTTGTTCATTTGTCTTGCTTAGAATGAAAAAAAAATTACCCATCTATCTTAAATAAAAATTAATACAATAGTTGCGATTGAAAAAGGTGGGGGTCACCTTGTTTGAGTGGTAAAATTAGCGAAAAAAACCCAAAGTTTGGTGACTTCTAAAGCTGAAGTGTCTTTGTAAATCGCAAATCTACGTTAATGTGCCAATGAATGTTACTATTATTACAATAGTATTACGTATGTCTATGTACGTTACCAGTATTACATATGTCTATGTATGTTACTATTATTACGTATGTCTATGTGCGTTACTATTATTACGTATGTCTATGTGCGTTACTGGTATTAGGTACGTCTATGTATGTCGTCTATTTATGTGTATGCTCAAGCACCAGGTGTAGCGCCCGCCAACATCCCATAATTCTGTGTCACTCACCCGTCGAACGACTTGAGTCTCGGAGGCCTTGTTGGTGAGCAGCGAGAGCCAGGCCGGGGCCAGAGACCTGCACGTGTGGCAGCAGTAGACGAGGCGCGTGCGGCCTGTGTAGTAAGGACAGTCATCTCTCACGCACGGTGCGGTCGGGTCGTCACCTTGTGGGCACGTGTCTGGGATGGGGGGGGGATGACGAGGGAAAAAGGTTAAAGGTCAATGGTTAAAGGCGAATACTGCCC